GAAGGTTCAATGTATAATGGTAACGTTTTTACGAAGCTAGAATCTGATTTATCAATCTAAATTTCAGATATATCTGAGGCAAGTCACGTTTCACCAATCCTCTTATTGGAATGGCTTCACTGGTCAGGCCGTAACATATATCAACACAACAGATACAATGTTCAAGATTAAAGACGAAGAAATTTTAGATTACAACTTTTAAATCTATTGAAAAAAGTTACAGATTTGGATGGTTTTAAGAATATTTAAAATATAAAAATGAATATACCCATTACGTATGTAGCATATCGGCTCTGTTTATGGATAAAAATCTGTTCTATTGGTCAAGTAGTTTTCACATTATTGCCACAATCCAAACGTTCACTTTTATAGAGATCCATCCATCCAAGTCATTGACTTGGTCATTAATCCATAAATTGTTGATTTGTTGTTGTTAAATTTGTTGTTAAATTGTTGATGATCCATATTTGTAATTCCATAAAGTATAACTTATTGGTAGAAAATGTGTGACCATAAATTATATGTGTTCATGCGTTAAAGAAGTTATTGATGTATTTTACGTACGTTTTTTATTTTGTTTTATGAAGGCAAAAATGAGTAAATTGAAATAATTCATAACAATATCAATTGAAAATTTTAAAAAGTTAGACTATATTTACTCCTGAAGAAGTTTTTTTTTTATAGTAGCGTAATTTCTTGTAATAGCGTTACTGGTAAAAAGAGTGATTTTTCTGGTGCAACAATTTTGTCGATTACTTCCTGTACGACAAACCTAAAACCAATTTCAGTGATGTCACACAACCATCCACATTCATTAACGAATTTATAAATATCATTATAGCTGTCAATAGCCCCATTTGGTCCTTGTTCTCTTTGAAGAAACCTTGTTCGTACCACGAATACTAGTTTCTAGGATACGTGGTTCGTACATAAATCAGGTGTTTATGAACTGAGAAATAATAATTATATTAGTTTATCAGGAGAAAGTCCAATAGATGTGAATAATTAATCAGCTTCACTTACTAAACATTGGTTAGTAGTAAATATTTGGTTTAGTAGTAGTAAACATTTGGTTTAGTAGTAGTAAACATTGTCAATAGCCTAGACAGTTTTCTCATCTTCAGTAGCAGAACTCACCGGTAGCTTTTGTGATTTCTTCAAAAATCAACAATTCAATTCAATTCAATTCAATTCAATTCAATTATTTAAGATGGGGACGCCACTATGTGCGTATTTTAACCCAAATATGAGTGAAGGATGAGTGTAGGATGAGTGGCGCGATCTTGTAGTCTTGTTAGTGACTAAGGCCGACATGTTCCTTAGACACAGCTGTTAATTAATAGCCCATACAGCTAATGGCAACTAAGGGACCTACAGTTTATAGTGGAATCCGAACCACATTTTTCCTTGTAATTTACGAATTGGTCTAATTATCAGGATAATACTGCGGATAGTCGTAGTACTCACTAGTGCGGACGTTAATCCACACCAGGGAGCATCGCATCCACAGTGCATCCCTATAAATATCCACAATTCGTGACCTCCCAGTAGCTGGATTACAGGACGACGCCACCCGTCCCAGTCAACTACTGAGCTGTCTCAATTTTCGACAATTCTGACATTATGGTTGTTACTAAGCTACCGACACCATGCAGCGGTGCAAAATAATATTTCGCAATAAAATGTACCACCTCCTTTATTCAATAACTAGCTGTACCCGCGGGCTTTGCCCCGTTTTACTTCATAAGTGAGCTCGTTCGCATGGCTCAATCACGTCCTGGTTTAAGTTCGTTCGCTACGCTCACTTACCTTAAGTTTGGAGCTCGTTCGCTACGCTAACTCGCCTCCAGGTTGAAGTTCGTTCGCTACGCTCACTCACCTTTTGGTTACAAATTAGCTGTTGTCATAAATTTAAAAAAATAATAGTGCTGCACCCTGTTGGTAATCCTTGTAAATTTAATGATGTTGAACATCATAGAACAGAAACAACTTGTTTAATTGAAACAGCTGTTAAGATTCATTAATTCCTTTTAAATATGACAAATCATAAGGTAAACATGGGAAACTCCAGAGCCACTGGGGCGGAGCCCGAATGCCCGATCAGAATAAAAACTACTTACTTTTCTTATTTAATGTCCAAAGAATCGGTGTACCGAATTTCAGCCTCATAGGTAAATGGGAAGTGGGAGAATTAGTGATGAGTGAGTGAGTGTGTCAGTGGGGGCTTTGCCTTTTATAAGTATACTAGCTGTACCCGCGGGCTTTGCCCCGTTTTACTTCATAAGTGAGCTAGTTCGCATGGCTCAATCACGTCCTGGTTGAAGTTCGTTCGCTACGCTCACTCACCTTTTGGTTGCAAATTAGCTGTTGTCATAAATTTAAAAAAACTAATAGTGCTGCACCCTGTTGGTAATCCTTGTAACTTTAATGATATTGAACATCATAGAACAGAACCAACTTGTTTAATTAAAACAGCTGTTAAGATTCATTAATTCCATTTAAATATAAGTACTCGTAAGGTTAACATGGGAAACTCCAAAGCCACTGGAGCAGAACCCGAATGCCCGATCAGAATAAAAACTAATTAGTTTTCTTATTTAATGCCCAAATAATTCGTGTACCGAATTTCAGCCTCCTAGGTAAATGGGAAGTGGGAGAATTAGTGATGGTGAGTGAGTGTGTCATTAACTCATTAATGCTATTGAACATCACAGATTAAACTTGTTTAGTTGAACCAGCTGTTAAGATTCTTTAATTCCATTTATATATAAGTACTCATAAGGTTAACATGGGAAACTCCAGAGCCACGGGGGTGGAGCCCGAAAGCCCGTTCAGAATAAAAACTGCTTAGTTTTCCTATTTAATGCAAAAAGAATCGGTGTACCGAATTTCAGCCTCCTAGGTAAATTGAAAGTGGGAGAATTAGTGATAAGTGAGTGAGTGAGTGAGTCAGACAGCGAGGGCTTTGCCTTTTATAAGTATAGATAACAAAAAACATGATCATATGTGTTAACAAATGAAATATAATTAACTAGCTGGCCCGACAGACGTCGTCATGTCCTAATGTGGTTTTATGTCAAATGCTCGTTCATTTTGAAGATGAGCTCGTTCGCATGGCTCAATCACGTCCTCGTTGAAGTTCGTTCGCTACGCTAACTCGCCTCCGGGTTGAAGTTTGTTCGCTACGCTCACTCATCTTTTGGTTTCAAATTAGCTGTTGTCATAAATTTAAAAAATAATAGTGCTGCACTCTGTTTGTAAACCTATTAACTTTTTAATGCCAATAACATCACAGAAAGTGTATAAAAACGTTTTAATAAAAAAACAATATTCTATTCAATTTTTAAGTGAACCAAATCTTACAGCTTAATGTACTGTACTGTTTAAAAAGGTCATTGATTGTTATCTATTATAATATTTACAATTTTACAACAATTTACCTTGGTATGGTGAATATATTTCAACTCGCACTGGCAGAGTATTGGAGACCATTAGGTCTTGTACTCATCTAGTGTTGTAGCTGTGTTGGTATTCCCTTTTTAAATATTCTTCTAGATGTTCTTTTAGGAGGATGGGTATGTCATAAACGTATTAACTGTAGGTGGTAGGTATCTGCTGATCTTTGAAAATAGGCTGGCAATGTTCAGTGAATTGAGGGGATGTTACAACTTTGTCCCGTATCAGCAGTTTTTGGCTTCTGATTTCAGCTCTGGTCCCTAGAGAGGGTATGGTGGCGATAAGTCATTTATAATCCAAGGAAAAGTAACGGGCCAAAGCCCGATCCTTGCGACACTCCGTGTAACAGTGCACCAACCCTAGAGGAGGCCTCTCTCAGTGGTTTGTTACTAGTTTTCAAGTTACCCCACCAGTGTTTTCAGGACCATCCCACTGATTTAATACTTGTTCAGCTTATCCACGAGAATGGCATGCGAGACAACATCAAATGCCTTGCTGAGATCACATAGCTTACGTTGTACAGACTCAATGTTTTCAAATGCATCAGTTATCATCTCAGCAAGGTTTAACACACTCACTCCCGTGTGGTGAGAAGCCTTACGTGTGCCGGCTGGGACTGAACCTGTTAAAAGGGTAGATCGTGGATCGTGGCAGATCGTCTCTACTCATAACTTTTTGGAGAGGTTGTGCTTTCCTTTATAAACCCTCATTGCCACTTATAGTGATGCAAAGACTCCAAGTCAACGGATCAACAAAACAATTCAATTACTATTACGTAATGAAACCCCATTTGATTAAGCTGACGGCAACTGCTGTTTTTTGGACTAAATCCTTGCGTGGGAATTCGTCAAAACAGTGTAGTGTGGCGTAAAATATGTTTGAAGTATTTACAATGTTTGAATCATCTGTGTAGGATTGTATACAGTTTAATAAAATATTTATGACTGTGGGGAGTACCTCACTTCTTAAAGAGCTTCAACCCCTTCTAAAGTTATGTCTCCTCGGAAAATGTGGGCCATCTGCCCTGGTAGCCCAACAACCTGACAGTGATTGACCATCTGGGGACGCAGTGGTACCGCCTGTCGAAGGAGGTGAAATCAAATACATCGAACAGTTCTACGTGTTTTGATTTAGTGTGTGAGTTTGCTCTTTGTTGCCGTGGATACCAATCAATATTTACACCTCAGAACTTTTAAAGCCTACGGGGCAGAGTCCTAGGTCAATATCGAAGCGGGAATGGTTCTATATGTATCCTCGGAGCTGTAGCGTTATTCGTGTGGAACTTGAGCCCAGTCCGTTCAGTAGCTTTTACGTTTAGTACAGTACATACAAACACACAGCCAGCCAGGCAGGCAGCCAAACACCACCTCTTGTTTATAATAAAAGTTCAAGATAATTTATTTTGAGGTTTTCTATGATGCGACCATTGATTACGTAATCTTAACCAAAGTAGTTAGGTTTTCTTAAATCAAAACATTTCCTATTCCACGTTAACAAATAAGTAACTTTTAGCACACAGCTGACGTTAAAATTTGAACTGTAAACATCATAACACTTAATTTCCAAGACAGAAAATCCTTAGTAGTAAATTTTACATTTCCATTTGTTAAAATAGCGAGGAAAACAAGAAATGCAGCAGAATACAGACCAGCCAGTTTACAAACTCCACAACCAGGATTTTAAATATATAAGAGATTGGTTGTTGCAGAGAGGTTACATATTTAACGATCCTCATTTCAAGTTGAATAAAGAATACGAGTGGCTACGACCATCGAAGATAACTGAAGAACCTCAGTTGTTCGTTGGAGAAACGACTCAACACGATGTCATGCAAGTGCCATCTGTAGGATACTGCTATTTAATAGCGGCCATGTCTGCTCTGGCGTTTCATCCGGAACTTGTGAAGCAAGTGGTTCCTTCAGATCAGAGCTTTTATGATAAATACGCAGGAATATTTCACTTTCGGTTTTGGAGATTCGGAAGATGGTACGATGTAGTAGTAGATGACCGTCTCCCAACTCTGAAAGGGAAATTGGCCTTGATGAAATCGCCAACTAATGCTTTCTGGCCAGCTCTGTTACTAAAGGCCTACTTCAAATTTCTGTATGGCGCATACCAAGATGTAGAAGAAGGGGGGAATTCTTTCGTAGTTATGCAAGATTTCACGGGTGGAATAGTTCAGGAAATCTCTCTAAACAATCTTCCCGAAACATTTGAAAAGACTTTGCTCAAGGCCATTGCAAGAAAATCGCTCGTATGTTGTGGAATATATGGAGAGGCTAAATCTCATCTAGGTCTTGTTAGTAATCACGCATACACAATAACTGGTGCAAGAACCGTTAGTGTCCCTGGACGTGGAGAAGTCCTTTTGATTCGTATCAGAAATCCTTGGGGCTATTTTGAGTGGAAAGGCGCATGGAGTGACGGATCCCGGGAGTGGGAATTAGTCCCTAAAGACCTCAAAGAAGAATTAGCAGTTGTTAACCGGAATGAGGGAGAGTTTGTGATGGAATTTTCAGACTTTAAGTCAAACTTCGAGCACGTTGATATATGCTATTTGAGTCCGAACGTATATTTAAACGCGTACGGACAGAACTCAGAAGTCGGACTTTGGCACTTGGATATGGTCAAGGGCAGTTGGATAAAAGGTGTTACGGCTGGAGGATTAGAATCGCTGCATGATAATCCCCAAATAAGGTTTAGGCTGAACGAAGCGGACGGTGACAACGACGGTGAGTGCTCTGTGCTGATTGCGTTGCTAATAAAACATCGTGCCGCAGTTCTAGGGTTTAAGGTTTACCGTATTTCTGACTTGAACCAACCTGCTTTGGACCATTACTTTTTAAAAAAACAACCAACCAGTTGGATACGTTTCCTTACGCCATAGCCATGAAGCAGTAAATAGATATGAGTTGAAGCCAGGAGCGTATTGTGTAATTCCTTTTACAGAAGAAGGAAGAAATGGAGATTTCCTTTTGAGAATTTACACTGAAAAGAAACCCCTAATTAAGGAATTAGATTCTTCTAAAGTTGGGCTTTCACCGGATGATGTGCCAGACCGTGACGCACCAGTGTCACGAAGAACAACAGAAACTATTAAAGATTACAAAATTGACCAATCAATTACGGACTATTTCCTCAAGGTGTCTGGCCCTAACAAGGAAGTTGATTGGAAAGATTTAAAGAACGTTTTAGATTTCGGTTTGAAGAAACCTGTTTCGCCAGCTGAGGAAAATAGTGACGGTTGGGAACATTTTCTTTTTGACGCAGCGACTTTTATATACAACAAAGTTTTGGAACCAACCTGTGTAGGAAGTGCTCTAGGAAAGACGACAGGTGGTTATTCATATGATCTGTGTAGAAGCATGGTAGCCCTACTGGATACAGACCATTCAGGGAAGCTGGAGTATAATGAATTTCAAGCCTTGTGGAATATGATTAAAACGTGGGAATCAATTTATGAATTGTACAGCGATAAGGCTACAGGATATTTGAACTCGTCAAGTCTTCAAAATGCTTTGGAAGCACTCAATCTTAATGTTGGTCGCCAGATACGCAGTAGTTTAATACGAAAATACGCAACAAGAGACGGCTACATATCTTTCGAAGATTTTATGCATTGTGTTATAAAAATAAAATCCATGACGGAGTTTTTCAAATCCAAAGATGAAAGTACGTCACAAAAAATACTTCTTACTTTCGAGGAGTTAATAGGAAAAGTACTTTATTCCTGATTTCACCAAATGTTATTCCTGTAATAAATGACAAGCCAAGTTAATTTTGTTTTCTTATTGCTTCCCACCAAACCTAACCCTTGATAGGATAAATTAAAATTAAAATATACACCAGCAATTTAGGGTTGCTACTACTTCTAGCTGTAAATAAGGACCGAACTTTGTATTGGACTTAGAATTAAAGATCATGTTGAAATATAACATGGCTGATTCAAAAGACAAAATATTACTGTAGGTTTAGGTGTGCTGATGCTGCAAACACTGATGATTTCAGTGCTGAATCACTCTCAGCTGTATCACTAATTACTTCAGCAACAGTAAGTGTAGGAGACAGCATGCTGAGTCCTGCTTATGTGGTAATAGTGAACAAACTTAAGACTACATTATATATTTTTTTCCAAAAGGCTATTGCTTATAATATTCCTTGATAGCATATTATAGGGCAATAGCATTATACAGGGTGCGCCAGAAGACCGACCTATTTTATGCAGCGCACTGTTCAGCGACAGGTCGTCTGAGAGTGATGTGATTAGGCTCGTTGGAAAGCATACTTGACGCCATTATCTGTGGTCATTTAGTAATGGTCACCTGAGCAACGGGCGTTTGTTATGGAGTCGAATTTAAAAAAGTATTGATTCAGTCATTGCAACTCAATGCTTGCTCAGTGGCAGTTCCGTGCAGTCTTTTAATTATAATGACAATGGTTCAGTCAAGTAGCACGTAATGTGGTGGGTTGCACCAACTTAAGGCAAGACATGGTGTTGTTTGTGTCAACAGCGCTGGATGTGTGTTGAGATCTCAATCAGCTTAAGAGATTAACGTTGTGATCACCTGATGTCACTTCAATTTTATAAAAGAAATAAGTTTTATGTCCAGCTCTTCTCTGTTTTATTGTTCGTTTTAGTGAATTTCCTTACAGAAGCTATTATCGTAGGTGGCACAGCAAGATCATGATCTTGGACTGGTTTACTTTTTAATTTTCAAAAACTGGGGGTTTTTAATTTGTTACCCGTTAAATATAAAGAACCCATATTTTTACGAAACTATCGTGTAGGGCTTCATTAAAAAACTAAATATTTTGTATATTGAAGCGTTTTGTAGGGTTTGTTGTTATGGGAAAATGTTTAAACCCAGTGGATTCCAAATGCTATTATCTTACAATTATCCTTACAATTATCTTAACTGTGGGCGTAAAAGTAAACTGTTGTAGTATGCTTATTTATGGAAATATTCTGATCAAAGTTGGCAAATTTATTTATTTTACACCGTGCTATCAATGTTTTACAGAAAAACATGTTTTCCTTTCCTATAGCAGCAAATCTAAATGCACATGAAGTTTAATGTTATTTATAAGCTATAAGGAATATATCTCACAAGTTTAAGAAAATATTCTAGTAAATAATTCGACCAGACTAATGGAATTTCGTTTAGTACAAACTTACCTAATTTTACTTAGGAATTAAAAAAATAATTTACGATCTGCGACTAAAATAATTTTATTTCCGATTTGCGACTGTTGTAGTAAAAAAATATCTTCCTATTATAAAATAGCTAGAGGTCGTCCAGTTGTCGAAAACTCGAGCAAAAATATCTAATGTACCTACTTTTCTATTTCCACCCCACGCTGTAAGTAATACATGTGATTGTAATTTTTTCCATTTATTTTGGTTTTTGATGTTATATTTCGTTGTTATTCTGTCACCAGCGTGGCAACCACGAATTTTTCTAGTATTCGTGATGGCAACCCATTAAAAAGGCCAATGTTAATTTACTTACATTTTAAATTCATTTTTGTGTTTATTTGTGAGCCTATTTCAATTTAGAAAGGGATTCTGCACACCTACAGGTAAATATCTTTCTAACAGTATGCGTAAATTTTCCCTACAAGAGCTGAGAAAAAAGTTTTTAAAGAAACATGCTTGCCTATTAATATAAAACTACAACACTATTATAATATAAAACAAGCGCGTGTACGGACGAACTTTTATTTTCGTCCGAGGATTTTATACTTTTTTGTTTATTCAGGGGGATTTGGCCACGAAAAATCGATTGAAGTTGGTTAAAAAATTAAACATAAAATTAATTATATGAGTTATGTAGCTAAATTGTAATAATACATTACTATAATTTAGCTAAATAACTTATCTAATTAATTTTATGTTGAACTCAATACAAGCAAAGCTCGGTCTCCTGGTTACCTTCAAAATACAATCAAAAGATAAGCGTCTAGACTGCCAGTGCAACTCCGAGGAACGAGGATCAGATCGGAATACCCCCCCACCACCGCTCCGTGCCGATGGCGTGACGTCAACCATTACCGCAACGATACGGGACTGAGTCATGAGCCTTGGTGGTGAAGTGGATAGCATGTCGGACTGATAGCCTCTGATCCTCGTTCCTCGGAGTTGCACTGGCAGTCTAGACGCTTGTCATCAAAAGAGCACTTCAAAATACAATGAAAAAAGCACTTCTCAGATGAACGGAAATTGATAAAATGACACTATTAAGTTACTCATTAACCATAACAAGCAAACGACATCAGTGTCAGAATTACATGTTATGAGTTTTCCTACAAGGCACTAACAAGTTACGAGAGAACTTTTGATTGTTCACCAAAATACATTCTGCATAAACAACCAAACTATTCCTTGAATTCCCTACTCCATAGTGTTTTTTATATTTTATTATCGTGTTCCTTAGTTATTTGACATTCTTAATAGCTCAAGCAACTCTTTTAAGCTCCTCATAACAAATTTTAACATTTATTAGTATTAGTCCTTAATTCTTTGATAATTAGTGCATTCAATGAGATTGGTCGGTAATTTCTAAGCTAACGGGATTCCTTATTTCGTATGACCTTTTACAAACTATCGAACGATGACAAATATTAATGGTTATAATTATGATCACACAGTTTTTTTTACAAATACATAACATTATTTAACAATCGATCGTTTATAACAGCCCACATTTAGTTGGGAGTTATGTTCTCAACCCAGATGAAGGTTACAGAAGTAATCATCACAGTTCAATAATAGTTCGGCCGCTTAGAAAACGACCTGCGCGCTAATGCTAAACCAATGCTGGAGGAGGTCGCTTTCTAAGCGGCCGAACTATACAAGGATTACCGTGTAATCAGCTGGGAAAGATTATGTCTGTCACAATGTAAGCTCTTTTTTGTTTAGTTTTTTTTATTGTTCAAAAATAGATCAAATTACATTATAAGGTGAACCTTTATTTAATTTGTAAATATCAAGACCATTCAAACCATTAACTAGATGTATGATTTTACTCTTTTTCAATCTCATAGTTTCGCTCTGAAACCCCCAACAAAGTTATAACACAAGACATTTTTTATATATAGTTACAACATTGTTTTATTCCAATAGCGAAGGGAGTGTATCGATATCATATGTGAGGAAGATATAAGCGTAATATTCAACAGAGTATCATGACATTGGAAACTGTTTATCCTTGTTTTATATTCATAGGAATGTATATGAAACGGAAATTTTGTTTAGATGCCTCTTGAAATCGAGAGAGGTTTTGCTAGTTTAGCATTTTTTTAAGAAATCGTTATGAGAAATTTAATAAATGTCCATATTGCTTTTGTAATCAGTTGTCAGGTTTTTCTAGTAATCCTACAACTATACTGAAGGATTTAATTAAAGAAAATAATTTAACTTAATTGGTTCTTAATAACTTAAGAATGCTTTCATGTGTTTTGTGAATTACTTAATGGGTTTGTCATCAATTAATAGCTATTTACATTACAAGTGTAGTAAGAGTGTTTTTACTTCACGCAGGTGAATGTTGTGCAACGAGCGGAAGCGAGTTGCATAATTCACCTTGAGTGATGTAAACACGCTCTTGCATAACGTGTAACGTACAAGATTTTACCTGACCCGACAATATACATGGGTTTACGTACAATATTTTTCGTTATCAGTAATCGTAATCAGTAACGTTCTTTTACTAACAAAAGCTAGGTTAGGTAGGAAAATACTTAAAAGCATATCAATAACATTCAAGCGCACAGCTGATTTCTAGCGTTGAACGTCGTTGGCTCCATAGAGTTATATTTTTTAAGTTAAGCACTCAATGTTATTTAAATGGGTTTCTTTACATCACCGAGTGAGTTTTTGATACTTTACATCACTCGAGAAGTATGGAAGTTGTATACATCACGCTTGGGATAGGGAAGTTTAACATGGCGGGTTAGGTAAAATACTTTATATGATTTTAACAAGTGTTTAAACTTTAATTTTTACGAGCAATCAACAGACTTAATTTATTTACTCTAAAGCAGTGTCAGTACTTTTGTCCAATGAGGTATGTACAATATGTAAACGGTGAGTGTGAATTTGAATAAAAAACAAAACACACTGTTTTGACATCATCCCGATTTGGTTTCGAGTTAAGTAGATATTTCCCATTGTTTTCAGCCGTAGAATATATAATATTGTCTCTCTGGGCACGTTTTACCCGTTAGTTTCCCGGTTCAATATGTTTTCTTTCAAAGTCCACACCTTACCCATTCTAAACCACAGATGGTTTCTGAACTACCTTTGGTTCTACTAAAACACAATCATAATTGTGATTTGTTGAAACAAACTATTTGGATGGAAGCCAAAGTTTAAAATTTCCAGTTACAAATACATCTCCAACTGTTGGTGTTAAATAACAAAATAAGCAATCGAAAATCTGATCACTGAATCACCATTGTTTAAAGATTTTCCATTGATGATTATAATAATATTTTCCATGTATCCCATTGATGAAAAAGTTATGAAAAATTAAGTAAACGGAAATTCAACACACCTATAAATTGAAGAATATGCAATAAACTGCAAAATAAATGTACTGGAAAAAGTCAAGAGTAGGGACTCAGTGGTGAAATATATTGGTTATCGGAGCCTTTTATGTCCCTGACATTGAAAATTCTAGCATACATATTTTTAAATATAACATTTTATACTGTGTTCACATGTTATAAACATGACTATAATTCTGAATGACCACTTCAAATATTGGTAATTTCAC